TTTATACGGTTTCAAACTGATAGAAACGACCCGGTTTCCGAGTTAAGTGCCTTCAAGCTCGATGTTTAATCCTCTCGGTACAGGAAAGGAACTTATAACTCAGGTGATTGAAAGTGTGGAGCGAGAATGAAAGAATAGGCGCATTCAACGACCTCCAGATGTCTCTGGCGTACTTGTTCCGATGATTCAGCAATCCACTCGCGAAAGGACGTTGCGTCAATTCCCATGGGAATTCATCGACTTCGTTTGCGATGCACGTTTGCCGGGGGCGATGCCCGTCTTAAGCGATTCCAAGCAGCCAGTCGCCTGGGACCAAGCGAGCTTAAGCGACGATGACGTCATCAAGGCAGCCGACTGGGATCGGGGACTTCGAATTAGTGGGAATTAGTTTTTTATTCAGGTGGCTTTTGTCGCCATCCCGTCGTCGGTGCGCCTCTTATCAGCGGCTTGTTTCCTTCATGCAAGAGAGATAACAAAGAAAAGCAACCGCTTGTACTGTCACCTTTTTCTCGGCTGTTTTGGTCGGTCGAACGCAAAAATGGAATGCTTCTCCCCGGATTTACAAACGCGATCCTTCGCCACGAGGAAACGGGGGACGGCCATGACCACGCAAGATGACAAACTTTTCATGGTTGATTCCATTTCCCCTTACCAAAGGAATGCCACAAACTCAAATGACTCGCGTCGAAACTTTCCTTTAGGAGTTTTTTTTTTTTTTTAGCTCAGGATCGGCTCTGAAAAACGCGAGGTATAGAAGCTACTGGGCACGAAAACGGCGGAGAGTTTTCCAGGAAAGGCAAACTATTTTGACGGAGATTTAATGGTTGTTTAGTATTGTAAAACTATTATATCGTCCGTATATATATTTGTAAAAGGCGAAAGGAACATTGTAATCATCTATATGAAGAATAATAACACATATTAATTTGAGTGACACATATGTATATTCATCCCTAAAATCTCTCTCATGAAAGGAGTTTGGCCTGGCCAGAGGCCAAACTCCTTTAAATAACAATAATGGCCCTTTAAATAATAATAGTGATAAACACGCTCTGACGCTCACGCTCTCTCAGCTGACTGTGATTCTTCGCGGGGTAATTTCGGGAGATATTAAAAAGTTCGAAAATTGAATCCGATGTGAAATCCATTAAATTACTATTTTCGCTCCGAATAACTTGTTTCTTGTTAATGAGCAACCCAAGATTTAAGTGTTGCAATTGCGATCGATTGAATCATGTCCGGCCGCATTTTTCTTGCAATAATATAAATGTTCGCATAAATTCATTCTTCCGAGAATTGCTGAAACGACAGAGCATGGGAGCACGCGTCAGAGACCCTTTCATCTTGGCTGAGAGCAAACGTTGAGCATGCTGGGAATTCCGAACAGGGAACTGAGCATATCTGTGGTGTTCTGCTTTTTCTGCATGCGTTATTGAGGATCGATGGGGAAGGGCGCGCCCAAGTTGCAAATATTGCATGAGTCACGTGGAGTCACAACAGTCATACGTCTTTAGTCATACAAAACATGATTGGTAAGTTGTGACTCAGAGACTCCAGTACGTAACGCGCGTACGTTAGTCACCCTTCCCGATCGCTCGAGAAATGACTTGTTTTTAATAGTCAAGCCCCTTTTTCGCAACCCACCGCTCGTAAACTAATCCAATTCCACTGTCCCCGCGATATTAGTCATTTCGACTTCAGAATGAGCGCTAGATACGATCTCTCTGTCCCAGCCGTGATATCAGTCTTTCCGTATTTTGAGTGGCGGTTACGTCGAGATTAGCGAATTTCGAGTTCGCAGCCTCTGCGACCTTTTCGCGTAAAAAATCTTCGTTCGAAGACGTTTCTGCTGCACAATAAATCTTTCCGACTCGAAGAAACTCTTCACGGGAGGTTGAGCTGTCGTGCAAACGCTGCTTATTACCAACGTACCGTAAAAATTGCGTTTGCGGAAGAGCACTCGACAGAAAGAACAGTTTTTTTTTTGGTAATAAGTGCGGAAAAGCTGTGGCTCTTTGTTTAAAGGGAGCGAATTTTCGTTCCTCCCCGGCACACACTCATAATGCGTACAATGCGGTGGCGGTAAGGGTCTGGTGAAGAACCGGAGCAGGCGTGCGGTTCGTGGTAGGTCGACTTCCAAATTCCTTTCGCCTTGCAATTAACTTTATTAGTTACATTAACTTTCGGAATTGACCTCATATAATATGGAGAGCTTTGCGCTATTTCTTCTGCGGGTCCTCTATTAGACTCCGTCGAGGACCAGCCAGAAAACTTCGCACGGCGCCGCGCAAAAAAAAACCTCGAAAACTTCCAAGTCGATTCGTCCGTCAGAAGCGGGAACCGAGCGGAGGTTGACCCTCACGCACGGAGGTCCGGCGCTCGACTGAGACTCGCTCTCCCTTCGGGAAGATCCCCCCGCGCTGCAGTGCCGAGTGTCGCGACCAGGGGGCGTGGCGATGGGCCTCGCGATTCCCCTGGGCCATGTGGTCGTCGGAACGATCCCATGCTCCTCCCGGCAATGCTAGTGCGAAAATTATTTGAGGCATTGAACTCTGGCAAGGCTGCATTCTCGAGGGCCGAGGCATCTCTTCGTTGCTGCTAATCGGAAAACCGCGAGAGGAGCGCTTTGGAACCGAATGACAGGCCTTCATCTCTGCATAGAAACTTGCACTAATTAAATGTATCGCTTCCATACAAGTACCATTGTCCCATCCCTCTCATCTGATTTCATCTCATGCTAATGGGTTTCATTTCCATGTCTAAAATAGCACTGAGGCACTTCCATCAGCATTCATCCAGATCGGGCAGCCGTTTAAAAGTATATCGAAGGTTTTGCTCTCGACCGCTTCAGCATTGGAAATATGAAAATACTCATTTCGATGAAAAGGTCATTCGATTCACCCCCTGCACGACACAAAGGAGCCGAAGAGATTCGACGGGGTCTTCTGTCAGACCTGCAAGGTCATTCCGTTTCTATTCAATTTCCCCCGTTTCCTTGCCGCATTGTTCTAAAAAAAAAAAAAGGATGGGATTGTTTGCGAGTATCAATATTATTTCCTGTTCTACTTGAGGATGTTGTCAAGGTATTCATGGATCTTGGCGTGTCCCACTTCCACCGTGAAGTGTTTGGAAGGTAAGCAGTCGAGTTTCTCCTTGACGGTGTAAAAATGTTTTTCGAGGCCTTCAAGAAACGCGCCTTGAGAACTTAACGAAAACACTTCGGATGGATTTTTTTGCATTCATACTCGTACTTGCCTAAGTTGTTAATGTATACGGTGGCAGTGCGAAAATGATTGGAGCCTGCTAGAAGTCAGAATGGTTTGGAGTGAATTGGACTTTAATGGGTTCACTTTCGAAATGCTATTGAGAATTGACCTTCAGAGGCTGAATTCACGCGTGAAATGGGATACAGTAAGGGCAATTTGTAACATCGTGATTGTGCTTTATTTCGCCTTTTTTTTTCGTCAACAGGGCTTGCGATAATCTCTCGTATCTGAGACTCGTCGAGATGGGAAAAGTGGATTCTTTTGTATATTCCATGAATAGGAAAGTAATTCCAAGAATTCCGCGTATTTCGCGCATTTCGCGAAGAAATCAACTGCATTCTTTCTGAGATACCCGGTGGAAAAGGTGAAAAAAAAAATCAGTATACTTGTCAGAAGAGTGAAAATTGAAGAGGAATGCGTGCGAGAGCACACAGACGTCAGACAGAGCGTAGCCACAAATGTGCAGTCAAGATTTCGACGGAGCGAGAAGAGACCGGTATGATCGTGGGGAGACCGTGGGAGTTAACGCCTCGGTCTCGGTTCCAACTCAGTATGCGTGAAGGCACGGGAGGAGCTGGATGTAAGTGGACTGTAAGTGCGCTCTCCGCAGGCTTCGCTCTCGACAAATTATCTCTGGACATTCCTCTCGTAGCGTCTCTATGGTTGGGCGGAGTCCCCGCGCGTGAAGGCATGGCAGGACTTTGGGGTGTCGCGGGGGGGAAGAAGCTTCCGAGTCCTTTTTCCCTTGGTCGGCTCTTTTCTGATTGGGTGTGAGGAGGGAGACGCGGGGATGAAACGGGCCTTCTTTGCATGGAGCGGGACAGTGTTTTCACTAAAAATTATGCGAGGTAAACTATGGAGCCGACAATGCAGAGGAGAAAGAAGACAGGGAAATGGTCATAGAGGGAAAAATGATGCAATATTTCAGGCTTCGAATCACGAGCAGAGAGGCATGGAAAGCCAAGTCCCATTGTCGGTGTCCCATATGAATTGAATCGATGAAACGGAAAATGACCCAACTCCAGATGGAATCAGCTGCTTCAGCGAAAGACTCAGCTGTGGAACCAGAATTGCTGCCAGCTCTGTGTTGAAGACCATCTCATTGCGTCTTTTTTTGCGTTCAAAAGGAAGATTAGGCGACGGAAGCGTGTAATTCCATATAAAGTTGGGTCATTTATCCATTTCATCATTTCCATTTAAGCTAAGATAGTCGGCGCCTGAGCGTTCCTGGTCTCGTGAAAACTTTCCCTTCGTGTATGTGGGGGTTGCGTGCGTGTTCTAGAAGCATGAGAACCGAGAATTTATGGAGTGGAAAATTTCGTTTTTCTATCGTTTCACCCCCTGTATAATATCGTAATCGAGTCTTGACGGCAGGAGGGGAGGGGAGGGGATGCATATTCAGTCGACACTATCGCCAGACCAAGGGTACCCTCTTCGGAAATGGTCAAATAGAACACGCATGAGCTTCATCTTTCAATATTCACAAACACAATCAGTATCACGAATGACAACGGGGAAAAAAATTTCAAACGGTCGACTTTCAGAATCGGATCGAGAGGCAAAACTGAGCACTCGTTTTCACTCTGAGAGCAGGAAAAAAATGTTCTCCGTCCCTGGAACTTGGACAAGGTAAGGTTATCACTGGGCAAGGGGAGAAAATCCCCCTTCGATGACCATCCAGCCCCAGTACCCAGTACAGTACGAGTAATCAACGACAGTGGGACTTGGCAATCGATGAGTGCAGTACGTGCAGTGAGGGCCGTGGGGAGGTTCGATGACCAGTCAGTCACGTCGCTCACTCCAGCGTGCGATTACCATGAGGGCGGGCATGCCACCTCTGCTTCCCCGGTTGAAACCCTTCGTCTTGTTATTCGCTGCATGCTCCAGCATCTCATCATGGGGTTCGTTAAACGCTCCGAATGGGCTTCGTATCGTTTCGTCGGCAGTACCGGAGCGTGAAGTGTCAGGCGCCCGGCGAGAACGGGGCATGAAAAGGGGATTGCCCAGTTGACGGATTGAGCGAAAAGCAAGCTGCGTGAAACTAACCTCACCGGAACGTTTAGAAGGATCTGTATCATGGCTCGTGACTTGCGAAATCGCATTCTGTTTCAGAGCGTGCGTACTCATAGAAAATAGGCAGAGGGAAAAATAAGAGAGGGGGGGGGGGGGAAAACGTGAAAATCGTCTGAAGAGGCCAGGATCCACTTTTCTTTTTTTCTTTTTTTGAACGCCCACGTTCACTGAAAGTTCAAACAGATCAGTGGATGCCATGCTCCCTTCATTTCGGAGTGACTGATGATAAGGGCTGTCGTTGCCATTGTGAGGAAACGTATTTCATGCCTCGCCTGAGGCCATCTATTGATTTCTTTTCATCCATCATTCTTCACTTTTGTCGCTTACGAGATAATGCCACGGAGGCACGAACCAGAGCTTAAGGCGAAAAATATGGTTATAGCATACTTCCTTCCGCATCGGCATTCAATCGAATATTTTTCGAAGAATGTTTCCGTCCCTCTTCCGTCTGTCATCCTTCGTGACGAAATCCTCAAGAGTCGAGTCATTCGGGATCATATCCTGAAGGATATCATCTCTCAAGATTATCATATCAGCCTGGTAATATTAGACTATAGCAAGCACGATGGGAAAGGAATACTCTCTGGAAGCATCGAAGATACCGATGGGTAATTTCCAGATAAACATAGGTTGCATGGCTGACCTGACCTTTGACACGTTGGGCACAGATTGAGAGAGAGAGAGAGAGAGGGGGGGGGGGGGGGGGTATGAAGAAACCTTTCCCTCGATGGATCTCTATCGTGGATGAGGCTCGAATGAGCAGCGTAATTTGGCAACACTGAGAATGCCCCGGGGCAAAGCTTTCCGCGCTGCCCTCTCTCATAACACGGTGCAGCGAGAAAGGCAGTATGCGTGCCCAGTGTTGCGAAAAGTCTCGGTGATTTCCATCCCTCTCCCTTCCCTCACATTGCCTCGCCTTCCACGCTTCGGGCTCCTTCTCTTTTCTGCAACTCTTCCGATCCTTATTGTGCGTTCTCCGTGCCCTAGGTCCCGCAGTCTCGGAGCGTTTTCGACGGACGCCCCAACGGTCGACGAGCCACGCAGAGGAGCCAGAAAGGAAACGGGGAATCCCCAGTGGTCGGTGCGACGCATTCGTCGATAGCGCTCGAGAGGAGGGAATCAGCTGAGTGTCCTCCGCGCGTGTGTTCGTCAGTGTCACTATCTCGAAGAATCTCGTGTTGTTTGCCCCTCACACCATGAAGGATGCTCATACAAATGAATGCAGCATCCCAGCAAGAACCCGAACTGGACAAGACCGATAACTGCAGCATCCAGACCGAGTGCACGATCCCCTACTCAGAGAGTGCCCCGACTCCGATCGTCTTGGGAGGATGCAGCCCTTCGCCGGGATACCAGGTGAGAAAATCGCTCTCGCAAATTGCACGGAGTCTTATCGTGTCTGTCGGCACCACCCCTTTTTTTTTCCCCCTCCTGGTTTTTTTCGCCCCTTGCGTGTTTACGCAAACGTCAATACACAAATAGGCAGGGCACATCTACGGGACCGTACATTCCGTTCCGGACTGATTCTAAAAGCTCACCACGTGCAACGGGCTCACCTGGTTCTCGTTCTTTTCGCTGGCAGACCTTCCTTCTCGTCGAAGGAAATCGTTAAATATATCATTAGGAGGGTCGATCATTACGGGGAAAGGGATATGATGATTCAAACTTTCACACCGGATCGAAAGGTGGGTACTCAGCGGTAGGGTTATTGTAGGCGTCTGTCGCTTATGAAATATGCATTTATGTGCCCACGTGGCCCTCGAGTGGCCCATTGCATGCACATCACCACCGGAAAACGAAAAAAAAAGCTGGTAGAAACGGCAAATTATTACTACGGTAATAGCATCAGCCACACCTTTAAGTACTAATCGGAATTTTAAATGACTTCTTGCTCCATCCTTTAGTTTCCGCATTGCTCCCTCCCGTACGTCAATCTTACTCGCTGAGAGTATTTCGGTAAACCCAAATTGAAACCTGTCGAAAGAGCTGGTCGAGATGGAAACCGTGGGCCGCCCTTCACCTGGTAACCTCATAAACTTCCAGCGCCGGAATTTACGACCTTGCCTGGAGCAAGGTTCGTGAAACCATGTCGTCTGCAACCTGCGAGATGCAACGTGCCAATAGGGCAGCCCGAAGGATTCGAGTCCGACGACGTTTTCTTTGGGTCCCTTCGACTTTCTCTTCGCTCCTTCGTGCCCCGTGTCCCATTTTCCGTCGGCTTCGAGGACCGAAAGGCGACATTTCCCCACGAATTTCACGGAATCGCCAGAATGCCGCCGCCGCGCATTCACAGCCCGGACCCCGCTCCGTCCGAACAGGATCCCCGGAACGGGGCCGAGATCCCCAGATCGAGGGGCACGGTATGGAGTCGTGCATCGCGTTGTCAGGCCCCCGAGGCCTGGCCAGGCCTATTACTCGTATCATGTGGGTTACGATTCGCACGATCCCATTTTGAGGAGCCCCGTGTTTTAGAGCCCGAAGGCATCACGCCCTCCTTCCACTTTCCCCGCTTTCTAATGTAAAGGAATGATCTCATACTTTCGATTCTTTTTTTTTGTCGTCTCCAAGTCCCATTTCTTTCTTGAGAAGTTTTTTGTTTAGGATCTGAACGTATGATAACGAGGCCAGTGGACCCATTGTCCACTTCTCTGCCGTTCGAAAATACCCTTTAAAATTAAGGTCATTCGAGAGAAATCGAAATGTTTTTTTTTTACGCTCATTTTTTCCGGCAAGTTTTTATCCCGTCCACCGGAGGATTAATTGCGTGATAAACATTCACGCCTCGTGGGCAAGAATCCACGGATCTCCAGTTTTGCGTGCGTGCTTCATGGTCGGTCTGGAATGTAGGAAGTGACGCGAGCCGAGTTTGAACGCTGGTAAGATTTTGTCAAATCTCGTGCATCTATCGAACACGGAATCCATTATGTAAAACTAGTGGGACTTTTTTTTATGGGTCACTGTTGTAGATACGGTACCGTTTTCTTTCCTCATATTCCTGCGTACCGCATTGTATGCACATGAGAAAGAGAGAAAGAGAAAGACGGCGTGGTTTCGCACTGGCCAACTCAAGGTTCCATCCTCGCGGGCCCATAGGGGGACCGTTGCTGGCCCGAGCTGACACTCTTTTCCCCGGAATACGGTAATGCTGGAATGTGCCGAGCCCAGGCCCCCCCCCCACCCCCCCCCTACCCTCCTCCGTCCGCGATGGCTGGCTGGCCTAGTTTGGAAGTGGACCGCAGGAGTAGCTTCGCACCATTGAATCTCATGCTTTGACGGCTTTTTTCTCCCACTCGTCCGGTTTTTACCTCATCTTTTTTCACCTCCTTCGTTCGGCCCAGCCGTTTTAGCTGGCTCTTGTTTCCCCAACGCCTAATAAAATGCAGTACCGTTCGATCCGCGATCGGTGCGACCTCGTTTGCCCCGCAAGACCGGCTCCGTGACGCGTCGTTACGTTCGAAAGCATCGAGGTCATTGAAATCAGTCATCCCTCTTCGCTAGATGAGGGATGACTGATTTCAGCTCGAATTGCCTTCAATAGACCTCAATTCGAGAAAGGGCATTCAACTGCCGAGTCTAAATCCCACGAGACTTCAGAAGGAAATATGTACGCCCCTGCCCCGTCGGTCGATGAGAGCGCTCCGTTATCCTGATACTCAGATAAAGACGAATAAATTCGAATTCAGAACTCCTGCAAGCGAAGGAAGATTCAGGCGGAGCCTGCTCCGCTCTCACGGATCCCGGCAGAGACCTTGCCGCAGAGCGCGTCGGGTGACCGACCCTGATCCGCCTGCAGTTCCGGGTTACATCAGTCCTCACTGCGCCGCTCTCTCGCTTGATGCATTCCTTCCCGCCTCGACGCGAGAGAGAGAGAGAAAGAGAAAGAGAGAGAGAGAGAGACGACGCGTCCTTGCCCCGATACCTGCGTTCTTTTCGATGTCCTTCCACTGTAGGGAAACGATTCGTTGCCGGGTGGCCGAACGGAAAAGATGAGTCATGGTTCTCGTATCGCGATGACTTCTCCGCGATATCGCCGTTCTGTTTTCTGTTTTATCTGCGCTCTTGAAACTGCGCACCGTAGTGTTATCGATAAGGGGATTACCTCTGCTGAGTCTATGAGTAAGCATAGTGTCAAAGTGTCATTCCACGACGACGTGATTTCGAGCTGTGCTTGTGAATTTTTTCCCCCCAAAATTCTTGAAAGTTCCTCTTTAGTAAGAAGTAAACTCGAGTTAATATTTTTAATCGCGACCAACGAGATATTTCAAACGTAATAATCGTGACCATCGCAAGATTTCAGTTATAATTGCGGGCGATATTATATTCAGCAATCATAGTTATGAATATTCGAATGCCGTCGAACGGTTGCATATCCCACTATTCCACCGGAAAATAACCCAGAGGGTATGGAAAGTCGATATGACATCTGGCATCCGGAGAACGAGGCCTCTAAGAATCTCCATAGGCCCCCCATAACGACAATAGAAACATCATACCCTTCTCTCGCTTGCAACTCTATCCTACCACGTGTGCTCTTGCAGTTCAGTTGGTTTGGGTTTCCAACAGGCGTGTCGACGAGGGCTGCAGTGTGCTGCGAGTCCTCTGCTGCTTGTCATGTGAAAAACCGTCCCCAGTGTTCGAAGGGGAGAAGAGAGGAGCAGCTCTGGCTCTTCTACATACTAAGGGAAAGATCCCGTATGGGAACCCATTGTATCCTATCCTGAATCGGTGGTATAACCTGACCATTGCGAAATGGCCGTTTTCCAAGCCTCGTCGATGGATGCGAAACTTAGGGATCCCCATACCGCAGTCTCCGACCGTGTGGCGGCGGAATTCCATTCAAGGCGCTCCAGAGGAGAGCTCCGTTCGCCATTCCGTAAGTTGGCCTCCGCGATTCGGTGTGCTTTGACAGATTTTGAGTGACAGACTCCTTTCTTTTTACCTCTGTCGGCGCCTCCAGCAACCGTCCTCTCCCCTCTTTTGAAAACAAAAGCACACGGGCTTTCGGGTTGTGTGTTCGCCTGTTTCTTTGTCTCGGGCTCTTTCTCCCGCGCTATTAAGAGCTGAAATGTTGATTTTTGGCATGGGGGTGCCTCCCCATAACGGAAAGAGAGTTCTCCGTTCCGAGCCGGCTCAGACATCATCTCGAACGGAACTGAGGTCGCGTAAGGTGAAGGCAGATTCCTCAATAATTTTAGGCCGGAGTCCGGAAATCCTCTCACGTTACCACTAACCGCTTGACCTCCTGCCCATATGTGCATAACGGTAAGGGAGGTCGGAAGCAGAGAATGGGAGGACGAGCGGTTGGATCAAGGGGTGAGGTGGCACCAGAGTACCTCGGGGTCGACATTTCGGGACCCCTGCCCTGGAGCGTTTATTAGTGAATCAATTCGGATGAGAAAGTGAATCGGAGGGCTGCACTCGATACTGCACCACTCGTCGGGGGAAAGGTGCAATTTTGGGCAGATGTTTTCCGTTGTCACTCGGCGTGCAAATGAAGTAGGACTGCAGCTGACATCTCATTGATTTTAAAATAACCATTAGCATCCTATTATTATCGGGCGATGTATGATCTTTCCCCTTTATCTTTAATTTTGCTTTCATTTTCATTATACTCTCTTATAAAGAATTTCGATTTGAATGGGGATGGGTTTTAGACTTTTTTTTCGCATTAGTCATGATAGGCGTAAACGTGTAAAGTCCCCAAGAGAGAGAATCTCTCAGCATGTCTTCATTTATAATCTGCCGTGACTGTCCGCTTGATTGAACCTCGTGAGTGAAAGGAATTCATTGAACTCTCTGATGGAGAGAGAGAGAGAGAGAATCTTTTCTCAGGCACCTTTTTGTCTTTATTTTGCGCCTCCTTGAGGAGAGTCCCATGTCGAGGCATGCGGCATGACTATCTTGTTAGGAGCCCTTGAGAGGGAGTGAGATGAGAGGTTCTTGTCATGAGATACCCTTTGTCTCGCTGGTTTGTCAACATAGAAACTCTTTCAGTCGCAGGCGGACTCTTTCCCTCTCGCTGTGTATCTCGTACACGAAGGACTTCCTCTTCGCGTGGGAGTAGGCGGTGAAAGTGGGGATCCATGGCCCCACGTCACTCGTTTCCCGAGTTCGTTCTGAAGCCCTTCGCGCAAACAAGCCAATCACGACAAGGCTTCTGTGGATTGTCCTAACAGCGGGGGGGATGTGGACATTCCCTGTCACGAATCGTGACCGGACGAGCCGTCTCCCTGATGATGACCATGGGGGAGATCGATGCATGAAAGAATGCCGTGCCCATATTTGCGGGTGATCGAAGGAGGCCGGCGTCATGCCTCATTCACGGCGGTCAATCATGCCCAGTCACCCGGAATCCACGCTCGTCCCGCGGAGTGATGCGTATTGCCCTTGTCACCGTTATAAACGAGCTGGGATTCTGGCATTCTTTCACGTGCGGAGATCCGCCCATCGCGGAGGGCTCTAATAGCTCATGCGATCCTTGGCGAATGGAGGGCGTTAGCGTCGATTAAGGTCCAAAAGTGCTTACAGCCATCATTATCGAAAACGAGAGTCAGATCCCTAGCGTTCAAAACAGGAAATATCGCGTGGAGTGAAGACGCCCTCGGCAAGCGAGGGAACAATACTGTGGCGTTTAAAAATCGCAGGTGAATACATAAATCATCCGTGAATAGATTCACTCAATATTTAAAGTGCGTTAATGCCCCCAAGGGGCGATTCATCCTCGAACCACCTTCTCTTTAAATGACGGCGATGTTATTAGTTTTCAGTAACACGGGACCAAGAATTCCTGGACGTCGAAATCAGACAGGAAGAATATTCTCTCGTACCTTTCAGTAGTTCCTCTTTTGCTTAATTCAGAAAATCACCGATATAAACCACCAAAGTGGTGATAAAACATCGGCGAGAAGTTTCACAATGATGACCACAGCAATATATGGGCTCCCGCGAATTGCCTGTCGTTCTGAAACCTCATTCTCATCGTAAATAAGGCCCGGCTCAAGGATAATCTAAAATATGGAATTTATAGAACTACTGGCTAACATATTCGAGTCAAGGACGTACATTCATGAGGGTGGTTACGATTTCAGACAGCTTGATTCACGTCGTAGGATTTTTCCCCCCTCTTCACTATATTTTAGGTCTGCCATCTGTTCTAAACACGTTCGTGATTATGGGTCATGATTACCATAACACTATGAAGATGATACCTTCCAGCCGAAGTTTACGGTTAATTTTACGGAAAATTGTTTCCACTTTACCCTCTTGATATATGGTGATCGATGCCTGAAGAGAAAAAGTGAGATTGGAGGAAGCATCGCTTCTCAAAAAAGCCGCTCTTCTCACGGAAAGAGCAATTTTTTTCGTAATTGTAATTTTTTAATTTTCCGTAGAAGAAGAAGGCGATTTGATTAACTTTTTGGAGGTTTCAAAATCCTATTGAATGCGCGAAGAAGTTTCGCGTGACACCGATTGGTCGGACGATAAATCAGCTGAAGTTGGGCCGAAAAAAAACTTGAGGGAGAGGCAGTATATCGTGGTCGTGCCTGTTCTTTCAAGAGGAAAATATCGCGAAATGGTCATAAATGAATTCGAAAGGTTCCTTTTTGCACTTATGTGTCAGTATTCCAGCGATGGGTGGTGGCCCAGACTCCCCATCTCGGCCCTTCTAGACAAAATGCCTTGGAATTACCCAAGCATAAGCAATAAAAAGCAACGGCCGTGTTGGAATGGCGCCTGGAGCTTCCCACAGGCCAACTTGTGTGGCACCGCTATTTTAACGACGGAACGGCCAATTTATATTCTAAGATCGTCAATGAAACGCCGAGACGCGAGAGTCTCGCCGAGTGTGTTTACGGCGCTGACCGGCTTTCTTGCGCATTCAGGGCCCCTTTTTGGGTCAGTATATTCTCTGGGCTTTTTTTTTTGCGGATTGCCTGCGTAACGTACTGAGTGATTTGCAGATCGTTTGCGTCTTCACAGACGATTCTCACGCTCCAAAGTCTTAATTTCCTGCTATTTGAGACGCGAGACCGCACGGCTCTATACTCTTCTTTTTTTTTTTTTTAACCAAGTCAATTTGCCATACGCAATGTTACATTTGCATGGGAAAAAATTCAAATTGCTTCCTGGATGAGTTCACTTTTATCTCGCTTGTTCAGACGGGTTCAGTACTAGAAAGGCACTTTTTCTTTTAGTGCTTCCGGTACTGGGGACTCAGGAACGCCAAGGCGAGACAAATTCAGATATAATTTATCCGAATTTTCCAAATTATGATTACCTTTCAGTGCTTTTTGTATTCATTTTCAGGATTTATCGAAGCCAATCCATCGATATCTCATTAATGTGAATCCAATTCGTTTTTTTTTGTTGTTGCTACTCTGGGTCGGCCCTTATGATCTAGATCAGCGGTTCCCAGACTTTTTTTAATCGCGACCCACTTGCTGACGTACAGAAAATTTCGCGACCCACCGGAATTCAGAACGAGGTATTTTCAAAGTAATTATGACGCGAAGAAAACTGATCGACCTTTTCTGCAGGGCATGTTTTATCCTGAGCGGATGCAGACGTTGTGATTTTTTATGCTGGGAAAATGCACGCAACCCGCCGTGATGCCCCTCGCGACCCACAGTTTGGGAACCGGTGATCTAGATAATACGCAGTCCTCTGCACTAGATCGTTATTCGAGACCAACATGAACTGCTGCTCCGAAGAAAGTCTTTAGGTGCCCTGGTTTCAGAATTCATCCAGTTGTAACTGCTGTGGTCTGTCTGTGGGTTTGATAATCGCATTTTTAGTGCTCTCCACCCTAGACTAGCACTTGAAAATTTCAAGAGGCATATAGGACCAAAGCAGAGCCGACTCCGCCTCTGCCTCGTATGTCGCATTCGGTTCCGCAGGTTTTTGGTCAAGGTCGTTCCGTTCGTTCGGTCGCCAGACGAACATCTTCAAGAACGTACTTGTTGATCTCCGACACGTCAGTATCGTGGGGGGTTATGCTCGAAACATGGCGAATAGAGGAAGCTTCCCAGCTTGGGGCTTCCGTGCTCATGCGGCTATCGGTTATAAGGGCGGAAAGCTTTATCGAAGAAGGTCATCCTGCACTGCGACTTTGACTAGCAAGCACTCCTAATTGATAGGGCAAGGTCTGATGGGTTTATGGTGTTCTGGCCCGTATCTAATCGACGGCCTTCACCGTCCATGCCCTCTTGGACTCTCCTATAGACTTGAATGCGATTGACATTTTCTCTATAAATATCAGGATGTTGGCTTTTCTGCTTTGAGAGCTGCGGGGATATTGACACTGTAGTGATCACTGCGTAGCTATTTTCCCTCGAATAATGGAGTTTTCGCTCTATCGACATTCTTCGTGTGATTTTAACTCCGACTGCCTTAGAAGGAAGACAATAACATCAAAGACTATGTCATAAAAGTATAAATATTGGTGTACTAAAAGGGAAGGGGAGTTTGGAGTGAAGGTCAGTTTTGGATTTTGGTTTGATAAAACTGAACATTTTCTAGGCTCTCAACTCCTCCCCTCCGGGTCGTCAACCGGGCCTGGCCGACGACCGGGTTGAGACAGTGGGTGTGCTAAACAAACCGGGGGGGGGATGGGGGGCGACCTTCGTTAATCCTACCTAATCCTTGGTCGAGTAGAAAACACGTTCTTTGGCCGGCACCACTCCTCCCCCTCAACCTCGAGAAACCTTATAACGTCTATGGGATTTTTTCTTTTTTCGTAGATGGAAATTATTGTCTTCAGTTGATGGAAATTATTGTCTTCAGTTGATGGAAATTATCGTCTTCAATAGATGAAAATTATTGTGCCTCCTTTCCAGGACATGCATGCATGATAGGCCTTAGGCCACGAAATCCAGCTCACATTGCTAGGGAAGGTCAACATGCTTTTTTTTTCTGCAGTTTAAAAAAAAATGTATTTTTACTCCCTGATCGCCGCTCCTGACTTTTCATAAGTCCGTCGCTCTTACGAAATAAGACACATCTTATTCCGCATTATGGTGAGTCGCTGATCTTTCTTATGGAGGAATAAATGGACATAAAAACGCATTTGATAGCTGAAAACAGTCATGACCATTGCGGTGTGACTGAAGTCGAAAATGCTTTATGCAACATTTCTACGGAATCAGATTTATTCAGGCCCTTTACGCTCTCGTGTCACACAATTCCATCTTGTAATTTCGCATTGATCCGACATAACGATATGCAATCGACGTGACACGGGCTTCCTGGGAATGCAAGGTATCGAGGGTAAAGGCAGACAACGCATGTCAGAATATAGACAGACAGACAATTCATATCAGAATAATAACAGACGGACAATGGGTATTAGAATAATAATAGACAACGGATATCAGATAAATGGTATGCAGATGACGCTTATCCCGAGTAGGGAGCTGCTGCCTACCAATCGAGTCGGATAGCAATAATAATTAGAAGACTTTCCTGTACCTGTTGGAAGGAAACAGGAATCTCGCCTCGCTATTCAAATTTTTTACTCGACCGGTGACCTTTTCTTCCCACTCCAAACCTGCCTCGCCCCGAGATCATGCGAGGAATGGTGTCATCCGTGGGAGGAGGGATGAAGATGAATGCAATTCCCCGACGCCTTGCAGTTCAGTTCCTTTTTTCCTCATTTAGAGTCAAGTTGAGGACATCCTGTGTGAGCAGGAGAAGCGGAACGAGGCAAGGGTGCCAATCTTCGTTCTTTTGTCAGTTCCACTCCGTGCTATGCGTCACCGCGGCGGAGTGATGGCTTCCCCCCTTGCATCTCTTCGGAGCGGAAGTCTTCATTTAAGGGAACCGTGCCCGTCTTCTCGGTCGGATGCCGTGTATGTGGAGCATAGCGTTGCCGGAGCTTTGTTGAGATTTCCAAGCACGTGCCAGTTCGACAGTGAGCTAGCATTTCCCGAGGCGGGGTCCCCCGGCTCTTTCTCTTCCGTACGAGTCTCGGATCTCCCTTTCTTCCAGCAGTGACACATGTCGATACGTATAGTCCAACGGAGCGTATAGAGAGGACAGCAGCGTTCGCCTTCAGGGAAACCCGCTCTGGTTCTCGGAAGACCGGGCCCCCGTCTGCGTCATATAGTCGAGGAAAGGCAGACCTAGCGCGATCCCCTGTATGGTAACGCTGCAGTCTGTCTGTCCCTTGCGTGTAGTGTTACGTCCTCGTCGTGATCCTGTGTCCTGCGGCTTGTCTCCGCTTCCCCAGCGCGTTGTTTATCAGATGAGCCTCTAGCAACTTGCACGGCCGGGGAGAGCTAGCTGACGGCAGCAATGCATGTAGTGGATGTCATGATCCGTTAACCGGGTTCGACGTTGAATCATGGAGCATCCGAATGCCTTCGTTGTAGTCGATTGCAGTGCTCTCCTCCGTCAGAGCCGTGATCCCGGTGTTTCGGCGAGGTTGTTTATAGCGCTTGCTCTTCTCGCAGATGTGTGGGGGTGAAATAACCGACTCGTGATCGCTACGTGACACCCCAGCCGATCTTCAGTGCGTGATTCTTGCCAACCCTCTCGGTTCTCGTGTTCCTCGACTCCCAGTTTTGCTTTCTCGAGCCATTAATGGAGCGTGAGCTCGAGTTGCCGTCGGATTTGTAGTGTTCTCCGCTGGGATCGCGTGTCTAGGGGATTCAATGTAAATCCATCCGCCATTCTCGGAATGCCTCGCTTTCTTTCGGAGCAACAATGGGATCTGTGTGGGCTCTTCATCACCATTCGTGTCGTGGCCGTGCTTGAAGCCGTATCCCGCTGTCGTTATCGCGAATGATGCTGGAGAAGCGTTTCTTTGGTGGCACTTTCGGCAGGAAGACCTTGGCCCGCCAGACGAAATGGTTCGCCTCCTTATTTGACCCGGTACGTTATGTGCCTCTGCCTGTGAGGTTGTCTTTTTTTATATATATATATTTTTTTCTTACCACAATTGATATTCTGGTTAAGTTGCCTTCGTCGTTTCGCCTCTTCGTCTAACCCAGGGTGTTTGCAGCTAACAACGAAGCAGGAAAAGTGAATCCGTCGGCCTTTCTCCCCCTTTGTCCCTTCCCCATCGTTGCTAGCGCTTCATTTCCACGAACCCGATAATGAATCCCCCCTCTCTCTTGCCGGCATTTCCTGCTTCAATGTGCAGCTGTAGGAGTCGAGCATAATGTATACCCCGACTCATCAAAATTCGCCCAGCCTGATAGCAATCGCAGCACGGGAAGCCGGAGCATTCGAACGAACAGTCACCCTTTCAGTGTCGCGTGATCCCTTGCGTGCCCCGTTGCAATACACCGGATGGATTCACCCCGGAGATTCCATTGAATGGGACACAAACGTTGGAAGTTCCGTTCCCCCCCCCCCGGTTTCACGCTTCCGGTGTTACGGAAATATCACCTGCTCGGAACTCTAATCTTTATTCCACTGCACGGCTGACTTCTCCTACATTCTTTCGCGTCCCGTACGGAGCATCGTTAATGCATATCCGAGTTGGGAGAAAGCCAGGCTCCGCCGTGATAACTTGCATTTGTCAAAAGTTTTATATTTTTAAATTGAAAACCATTTAGGACTCATGATTGCAAGCGCGAAATTAGCTGCATGCCATATCCGTATAGTAGGAATTGGGAATTTTAGAGGTCATTGTTCTTCTGAAACCTTTGTGATAACACATGACAACAAATGAACATTTCCCGGAAAAACAGCTTCTGATTGTTCCTCTACGACTGATAGCATACTACCTGAAGTCTGATTTCAGGTAGTTTGTCGTCTCTCTCCCTGACACATTCAGGCGTTCAAGAAGGCACCTGACATTTCATCACCCAGAGGAACAAAAAACTTTTCAGGGACCGGGACTGTCAGAAAAAAAAAATATATATTTTTCGTCACGGATCCACGTCCGTGAAGCGGGGGAATGGGGGGGGGGGGGGGGGGGGGGGGGGGGGGGGCGGTACTCCGGGGCGAAGAGCTGCAATCAACGGTCAGTTTCACCACGGGCAGCGAGAAGGGTGTCGCTCAGCCCAATTGAATCCCCCGGAACGAACTCGACACAAGTTTGAGCTAATTAGAGGATGATTCCCGAAATTTTTGGCGAGAGAGAAAGCCGGTCGAAGGAGTCACGCATGGTTGCAGACAAAGCCGACCGATGTCATCTGGACCCAGACTTCATCCCACCGAAAAACCCACCCTATTCCGTGTGGAGAGAAAGTAACGGACCCACAATTCATGTGTTAACGCAGAAACTTCCCTACACCTGGCTTACCAGAGCATCCCGTTTATTGTCAAATTATATCAAACCATCTTTCCTGTGGCAGATGTTTCTCCTATCAGTGTCAGTAGTATTCAGTTCCTCCAAGATGAACGGTCCTTAATAGAGGAGAGAAAAGAGAAAAAGACAGAAAATCGTACGAGAGGCTGGAAGAAAAGGGAACTCGTCACTCGGTCGTACAAGGCGTGCTCCTTTCCCCCTTCTGGGACTGTTCAATGGCTCGGCATGACTGCCAGAGTGTGCGCATTCTGGGCCAAAAATTGAGACTGATAGAAACGGAGACGGCTTTTGGGACCGCACGATCTAGCAGCTGCCTGTGGTCGGACTGAAACGTTATTTGCATGCACCTGACGTGAATTCAGAGTTTCGACTTGATGCGATTTCTTCTTTTTTTTGTCTCTGCAGCAGCAGCAGCCAACGTGGAGACTCTGGGGAGAGGATAGAGAAGAGGGGGCCATCTATACCGTGTATCTCAAGAAAGTCCGCTATCACCGACCGAGCAAAAGTGTCAATAGCGTAAGCCGATTCTCCATTCTCGCGGTAATTTTCCTTTTATCGAGTGCTTGCCTCCCCTTTTTCTTTATTCAAATGTTCATTTTTCTCGTCTTTTACAACAATACTTTCGAAACTCCGCCCATCATTTGCGAAAACTTTACTTCCGACATCACGTGCCAATTCGTCAAAAGTTAAGGGAAAGACCCGGTAGGTGTCACGTGCCGCGGACGGCATAACGGATCCCTCGCCCCCCATCGACGGCAATTGAGGATCCATTAGAGTTTCGGAGAGGGTTTCTTGGGTTGTGGTTCGAGGTACGTTAGCGTTTAGCAACAATTAGCGACGATATCTTGCGCTTGGACGTTCTGACCGACGCTAATGGTCACTGACTCGCGGGGAAAGAATTCGAGGGAAGAGCCGAGTCTTCTTGCTGAAGATGCCTTCGGGAACGCATAATTTTTTAAGTGAGGTCCGATGGGAAACGGACGGTGGCATTGTTATTAAAGAAAACTAGCATAAACGCCTTTAGTGATTGCGAGGCACTTATCTCAACGGTTACGATAATAGACTTCAGACTTCGTGACCCCGATCGTGACAGCTTCTGCGTTTTCATTGCATAGTCACAGTGACGTTGTTAATTGTCACGTGCGCCTTGAACTGAAAAGGCGAATTGGGTCTAAATGGAGTCTGAATTGGGTCTTCTTCGCCGACGGAGTTAATGGAACCCCGGCCCCATGAGATCTGCTCGTGGATTCAATGAGACTCGTGGAGTCGGGGCGTGATGGGTTTTGATGAAGGGGATCATGAGAGATGCTTCACCGGGCACAGCCGTGGCCCCACCACGTGTCTGGGCATCGTCGGTAGGGAAATACGCAGTAACCCGTGATGGCCCGAGGCGTTGGGCGAGTCAAGGCCGGCTGGCTCCACTCGGGGGTTTCTTCTTTTTTTTTTTTCTCCTGAAATTTAGGACGATGCTCCTGAGGAGAGTCCTGGAGTGTTGGGTTATTGTCGTCGTTCTGGTATTGTCGCGAGACAAACGGCGCATTCACTCGAGTCCTACGTCAAACAGGAGGGTGTGGAATGCCGTGGAGTGGGTCACGACTAACGGTTTTAAGGAGCTCTTAAGGAGGAAAAAAAAAAAAAAACAACCCGGAGTTGAAGCGTAGAAGTGACTGCAGACGGGCGTATCGTGCCTTCTCGTGCCTCTCGCCGCCGATGTTATCACTTGAGGGAGACAGTACGATTCATCCCACGCCCGTAGGCTTTCTGTGCCATGTTCATTTTGCCTCTCTAGATTGCCGACAAGCATTGTCTTCGTATTCATACTATGATGCGCTGGAATTGCGAATACATTTTTTTCCAGAAGCTCTTATGCTAACGATTGGTTGCTGCTTGTCCGTAGGACTCCGAGGACGAGATCTCCCATCTGGAATGGGAGACCGTGAAGGTGCGCCTGATCAAGGCAGGGACGTTGGAGAAGCTGGTCTGGGCCCTGGCCGCGTCGGACACGGGGGAACTGGAATGCACCATGGTGCACGTGTTCCTCGCTACCTACAGGGCGTTCGCCACGGCGGAACAGGTCCTTCTCCTTATCGTCTCCAGGTGAGTTAGGACCGAGGACGGTGATTGACGACGGTGACGCAAGGCATTCGAGGAACGAGCGAGGAGCATTGGCTTCCGCGGTACAAGATGCGGAAATGCTGATATCGCCGTCGTATCGTTGCATCGCATTTTGTACCGGTTCCGAGAAAACTCGTTCCTCAAAGAGCGTCCTGTCGATGAAGTTTTTTTCTTCGCGGAAGCGATTGACTTTCCCAACGGACACGTCATCGATGCTCTCCATGCATCGAGACACGGGCGTGATGTAAATCTCGCCCGCCGGAATAAGGCGGCGACGAATGAAGAAATATCGCGGTGAGAAGCATACTTAGCGATAGGAGACGGAGGAGGGTCCCAGGTTGCATCATCATTTGGGTGCTGTTAAGCTCTTACGACACGCGGGGGGCACGACCCGAGTCCTCTTCCACCTGGGGGATTTCCATCATCTTTGGTTCTCGCAGCCCGTGGTGAAACTGACCGTTGATTGCAGCTCTTCGCCCCGGAGTCGATCGAGCTGTTGAGCTTTGTCTTGCGCGTGTGGAGTCGTCGAGCCGCGATAAGGGGCTGTTAATTTAATCGTAACTTTGTTGCTTTCGTAGAAACCGTGTCCATTCCGGTCGGCCGAGACGAGGGGCCTTGAAGCGCGCCTCGATATTCTCACTTGGTATGCTCTCGGTCCGACGCAGTCGAATTTCCAATAGCCATTGAATGCAAAAAAACCCTTTGTCTTCGGGCTCCCGAGCTGCGAGGGGGAAGAGGCCGAACAGCCTTGAATCTCTCGCGATGCCGATCGTGATAGTAACCATGCTCTTACGGAAAAGGACACCCCCCCAACCCTCAGCATGGAGCCATTACCGAACGCGGCCTGGCCGTTCCGAGAATCTTGGGGTAATTAATGGGAGGGGGACGATTTGATTCGTTACCGGCGGAAACGAAGCGTTATCACGCACCCTCCTGCAGCTGCAATAGTCAACATTTTCCCAGGCATGACGTCATGGAAACGTCGCGATTCATTTCCTCTCCGGAAGCTGAACAAGGACCGCAGAGCTAAGGCACATGCCCTTCCACGGCATGCGATTCCATTTTTAGACGCCTTACAGGTGCGCGTACGTATGCTGGCGCCAGATAACGGAGAATTTGATGCTAAGGAGTTGAGCGGCATTAGGAAGATGATAGCAAAGGCTCATGCTGATGGAGGATGGGCGTTCATGACGGTGCTCCCCACGGAGATCATGAATACGTAACTAAGGAGCGCAATCAGCATGGTGCCACTCAGAGATATCTGTGGAATGCCTCGTAATAATCTCTTGAGGAAAAAAAACGCGCCTGGACGCAGGGTTTTTTATTTCTTTTATGCAGTTGCCTCCGGTCGTCTCCGCTTTGCCATGACCTTCGTCTGCAGTCAAGACGATTTATGGCCCATGAATGATTCCGAGAACGGATTTCCCCGTTCCCCGATAGATTCCTGATTGAAATCCGCATAGCGAGATATGGAGCCATAAAACGTCTCGTACGAGAGCATCGCTACCTTTCACTTAACCTGAGTCACGTGAGAAGCTCACGTCCAGGGGGCTCTTTGTGGCGAGGAAATAAAAAAAAAAAAAACGCGAACCAGACGACTGGGAAAAAAAAGTGCTCTTTCAATACTCGAGCCATGGAAACATCCGGCTGTGAGAACTTATGGCCTGGCGCAATTATTCATGGCCGGAGATGTCCCGCGGAATGGGATGTCATGCGGAACGAGAGAGGGAAGCCGTGCTCGAGCTCAGAGGAAGCGGTCTTCGGTTTGTGACGAGGGATTCGGCTTCGTCATGTTGCGTGAGTCACGGTCACTGGGAGCGCGGACCTTGGATCGATTGACCTCCTCCCCCCCCGCCGTTGGTCTGGCGCTTTGTTTTCTGCGTTCCCCTGGTGTCAACGGTTTTTATTTATTTATTTATGATTATCTTGTCTTGTCTAGCGTCTCGTTCGTCGTTTTTAGTGCGGGGGGTGCGCGATATGGGGCTCGATCGGATTCGTGCCCTTCCCCGCTGTGATTGGGTGTATTTATGCCAAGGGCAGAACGTTATCGCGTAGATAAGCGCCACCTCACCTGAGTCTCGATAACTCAATGAGAACTAGGCGGAAATTTTTTTTTTGTTGTTGCTTGGTCGTCCTGCGAGTTCTCATGATGTGACTCAAAGGAATATCATGCCGCATCATGAGTCATGCGTTTCGCGCTCGCCGAAACGCAGCAGGGGCGGTCCCTTACGAGGTGCAGATAACGCTTCGTGCAACAAAACTTTGTTTTGTTTTCGTAATTTGTTTTGGTAACCTTGATCATGAATGCAGGTGCAGGGCTGCTTGCGTTGAGTCAGCCTGAGACGAACTCGTGTGACTTCCGTGTTGACAGAGTCAATATACCACTTGGCATCGAGGAGAGATCATAACCGTCCGGAAGCTATGTGTCTGTTTCGCCCATTAATTACGCTTTTGACAGGATCTCACATTCTTTTGGCGTCAGAGTGCGCACGAAGGCGAAGGGGAAATATTTCAGAGCCCAACTTGCGGCTTTAAGGTCATTTGACCTTCGGGCTTCTTGTGGTCGAGGCTTTTGGGTTTGTCTAATTGCTGATCACGCATATTAAAGTCTCCCTCGTGATTCCCTGACGCGGAATCGCAAATGCAATTGGGAACTGCGCGGCGTGAGTCGTGCAATAACGTGCAATGCTGATCACCTCGGATCCACCTCTTTACCTTGTGAATCTTCTGAGTTGTCCCGATAAAATCACGCAGAGACAGAACGAGGTCTGAGCACCGTTCCGAACGCATCTCGCACCCGGAAACCGAGAATTTATTAAGCCCCAATGCCGCATACCGAGCGACAGACGCGCATAAATCCAATCAACCCGGATGGATTCAATTACATTCATGCGTCGAAGCCCGTTCGACGCTGATGGCGGGAGGACGAAGCCCGCTGCGGTCGGCCTTCGATGTTCGTTTCGGCCCTTCGCGGTCGCAGGGTTCTCGAGGACGTCTGATGATCGAGGACTGGCGTTGATGAACGATCCAGTTTCCATGGACTTTCTATCGGTGAAAGTTCTCTCTGCCGATCATATTCCGTTGGGGACTTTCTTTTTTTTTTTTGGGTGTGTGGTTGCCAACGAACGAGCACCTTGAGGGGGTCGGTTGCAGTATTTGGAGACTCCTCGATCATTTTTGTAATTAGAATTGCCGGAAACGGTCCTGCGACGGTTAGTCGTGATTAACTTTCGGAGGATTTTTTAAAGCGATTATTCGTGTCGTCTCTGCGACGCAGACACCGAGGCCAACAGCATGAACTGTGCCATCGTTTGCTCCGGAATTCATCTGATCCAGTTTTTTTTTTTCGTTCTGGAACAAAAGGGATCTCGTTAGTGGAAGGGCGCGGGAATTCGGCCTTCTCGAACCAATTCCCATCGAAGTGTTTGGATTCCATGTAAGATATTAATAGCAAATGTCGTGCCGTTATCAGAATGTTTGTATCCGTGATGAAACTGCAAGCTGTCGTGGGCTGTAAGCGTCAACTCTCAGTTGATCATGAAAAAACTTTGCTTTGCTTTTAACCGGAACTCTTGAGAAAATGTTACATCCCAGAATTGCAATACAAATACTCATGAAAATTCGAAATGCAAGCTCATCTCTGCACCTGCGTTTCTTAGATTTAAAATTAAAACTCGTTTGGTCTATCGGTCCGTCTCTCATTCCCTGTCGTTTCAAGTGAAACTTAAGTAAAGCGGTCGTGAACACCTTGGAGCTGGAATTCACGTCGTACAACACGTTCGATTGCGCTTCGAGAGAGTAATAAGGAAGAGAGAAGCTGCCTTGTAAGAGGAATCGGTTCATTCATTGATAGTATTGCTTGGATCCGAGCGCGTGCTTCAAATTTCCTGCTGCAGAGCCCGCCGAGAGTCTGAAATTCATGGGATTGCGTGACTTGTTCCGGGGACGACCATCGGAGCGGGCTGGCTGAACGGGAGCGGGACGGGTAAAGGCTTTGCTTATGCATGGATCGCCTTGGAGCGGGGAAT